GGAAGCTAGGGGAGGGATTGGCAGAGAGGGGTAGCTGATACAGAACGGTTAGTAAGGTGGATGAGTCTGGCAGCAGCATTCATGATAGACTGAAGAGGTAGGCCAATAAAGAGGGAGTTATAATAGCCAAGGCGAGATTTAACAAGGTAGTAAATAAGTTGCTTAGTGGTTTCCCGGGTTAAGAATGGCCATATCTTGGAGATGTGGGGGTGAAGTCTACAAGATTTGGACAGCGATTGGATTTGGGGCTGAAAGGACAGATGGGAGTCTAGGGTTACACCTAGCACCCTGGCATGAGGGGAAGGACTGATGATTGTGTTATTGATTTTGATGGAGAAGTTAGGGGAGCGGGCACAGGCTGCAGGGAATGCTAAGAGCTCAGTTTTGGAAAGATTGAGTTTGAGGAAGTGGCGTGACATCCATGTCAATATGTCGCTTAGGTCAAAAGATGAGGTTAGGTTGAGATGTAGCCAGGCTATTACCATTAACAGGGATATAACCATATCTTACCTTTCAATATTGACAAAAAACGTAAAATAAATTTAAATAGCTATTAATGGGGTTGATTGTAAATCATGCAGCATGTATTTTTACCAACACTCCAGAAACTTACAGTTAATTGTTAAAAACAAGGTAGAATAACTTTTAAATGCAAAACTGTAATTTTTTTTTTTTACTTACCTGTAAACTCTGAAGTCCTCCAAAAGCAGTAAATAGTAGTAAAAATCCAAAGGATACAACAAGAACATTTTTAAGATACTTGTCCATTCTAATATTTAGGCTAAAATAAGATCAATTTAATTTTCTTGTTTTGATAGCATGTACAGTATATGCAATTTGTATTTTTTAGATCTGAAAGACAGCAAATGTCTGTAAGAGTCTGAACTTTGAAACTTTATTGATCCTATGATGTTTTACTTTAATGGTTACTTATTCACTCGATGAACTGCAATGGTGAGCAAAAGGTCAGCTTTTATTTAATCATTAAGGATAAAATATCTTGATTGCAAAGTACCTAAAAAAAATAAATATTGCTGGTCTTTACTGTTTAGAGGGTTTATCGGCAATGTGTAAACATCATTTCTTTAGTTATTTCAGGAAACAGGTCTGTTTTTTTAATGTACAAAATGTTTGTAAAGCTTGTTCTAAGAATAATATGATAAAATACAAAGCAATACAATACACATGCATGTACTATCTACGCTAGTCATCCTAACTAGAAGCTTGAATTTCACAAGAATACATTAAATGTTTATTTATAGTTTTATCTTCCAAAACAAAATGTACCACTCTTCACACTCATGGCTTATTCATGTCATAATTTTTTGGCAGCACCAATATTTGTGAGCAACTATTTGAAGGATGAAGCACACAAAGGGCACAATTAGAACCAAAGGCACAGAGACCACTCACCAAGAGCCCCGGGTCCTGTACTAATGTTCGGGACCCTGAACTCCTGATTCCGGGTCACCTGATCACTGTGATAGTCTGATTGCCTATCACAGTGACCAGACACTGTAAAGTCATCCCGCATGCTTTCTCTCTGAATGGAGGAGGATAGATTGGAGGATACATTGTATCTCTCTCCTTGCAGAAAGAAAAAAAAACAACAACTGTGTGTAAATAATAATAGTGTTCTGGCTCTCCAGTCTGAGCATTGATAGTGTGATCTCTGTAACTTACAGTTGTGATGAGATAGCAATAACTTCAACCTCAGTTGGATACCACAGTCAGTGACTCAATGAGAATGACATCTTGTAGATCTTGTGAAGTTTATTCCATAAACTGAGAGAATCTTACAACAATGAAATTCCATAGGTCAAAATATCATACTGTTCCCTGCCATGAGGCTTGCTACAGTGCATCTCTGGGAAAGGGGGAGGGCTATCTATGCAACATTAACTAAACCAAAGGAAAGGGAGGAGCAGAGACAAGATATAGAAAACATTTAAAGGCATATGACAGTCAATATGACAGTCGTGAAAAATGACACTCCCCGTCGAAATCTATGATTTCTATTATAATAAACTTTAGTTCAAGTCCAATATAAATAATGAAGATTTTTTCCAGGAACAACAGCAAAACAAGAGGGAAGGGAAGAACAAGGGAAAACAATGCAAACATTTAGCATAATTCTTGCAGATGTTGGTCTCGAAAGTCCAGGCTGAGACATGGAAATCCATATTCAGAGGGGAACGGAGCAACATGCACATTCCTTCTTACCTCCCGTTAAATCAGGTTGATGACTTGTGTTCCTCTTTGGGCAAAAGAAGTACTAGTTCCTTTATAGGCCTGGAGTAAAAGTGCGCAGGACCTTCTTTCATGGTGGATATAGCCAAGATGTGTCCAGAAATGCAGCAGTAGGTACTTCACGACTGCCGCAGTCAGCAGGGTTGAGGCTAGTGGGAACATAGTGCCATTGTTCAGGATTTAGAGATTGTTTCCAGGATTTCCACTTTTGTTGTTTCTCTTTTGGTAAAGGGGTATCCCAGTCTGAGCTTTCAGAAGTACGTTGTCTCAGCAGTATTTTACCCTGAATGGTGAGATGTGTATCGAAACCTAATGGATCATAAATGCTGTTCACTGTAGACAATACTCCTCGCTTTGTGAAGGGCTTGTCACAGGCTGATGCTTGAAATGTGAATGTGTCTTGTTTAACATTCCAAAGCAATCCAAGACTGCGTTGTGTAACAGAAATGTCAGATCCTAGTTGGAATTTCTTCACACTGACAGCATGGTCATCAGAAGGAAAGGCTATCATGACCTTGTCGCTGTTAGAAATAATTTTGTGAAGTCTGAGGTTTGCAATGGCAGCATGTTCTGGGTTCTAGTAAGAAGGTCAATAGTTTCTTCTTCATTGGGCAGAGATTTAAGTCCGTCGTCGTCTACATAGAAATTCCTTTTGACGAACTGTCTTGCATCAGATCCAAATTCTTTCTCACCATCTTGAACTGTTTTCCTTAGTCCATAAATTGCTACTGCAGGAGAAGGACTGTTACCGAAAACATATACCTTCATTCGGTAGTCTATGACTTCATCGTTGACATCATTATTGCGGTACCATTGGAAACCGGAGGAAATTTCTGTAATCTTCACGGACGATGAAACAGTGGAACATCTGCTGAATGTTAGCCATAACAGCAATTGGCTCTGGTCTGAAGCGAAGTAAAACTCCTATGAGATTGTTCAGATTAGGCCCAGTAAAAAGATTGTCATTGAGGGAGACACCTTCATGACGACCACTTGAGTCAAAGACCATCTTAATCTGATCAGGCTTGCGAGGATGGTAGACACCAAAGCATGGTAGGTACCAACATTCTTCTCCTTCCATAAGAGGAGGTGCAGGCTCAGCATGATCTCTCTCAAACACCTTCTGCATAAAGTCCACAAAGTGCTTTTTCATTTCAAGCTTCTGGTTCAAACTGTGATTTAAAGAAACAAACCAAGATTCTGCGTGTACCCCGTTGTTTGGTAGTCTCTGTCAGGAATGGACTTGCCAGTAATGGTGGGACTCACCTGCCTTGTGGGCTGCAGTACCAGGGCTGGCCAGCGGGTGCTCTCAGCAATCAGAGACTCAACCCTGCAGTTAGCCAAACACCTGAAGCTGATTACGGAGGTGTATTTAAGGGATGGCCAGACCTGCAGTCTGGGCCTTGGTGTGTGTTTTTTCTATGGGCCCCTGTATCTTGTTACCTGCGTTCCTGTTCCTGCCTGACTCGTTGCCGACCCTGCCTGATCCTGACCTCTGCTGACTTCTCCGGTTTGATCCCTGGCTTGTGACCCCGACCATTCTCTGCCTGACCCCCTGTACCTACCTGCCCGTTAGTTGCTGTACCCGGCTCGTGACCTGACTACTCCTGTTCCTGACTCCTGACTCCTCCTGTTCCTCCTTCCTGACTCCTCCTGTTCCTACCTGCCCGATTGTTATTGACCCGGCCTGCCTGACTACGCTTGCATTGTATGTATTGTTATCTGTGGGTGGCTTGGTTTGGTTCGTTTGCACTTTGTTTATGTTTTAGTATTGCACTGCGTTTTGTATTGTTAGTATTAATAAATTATATTGTTTATAACATATCTGAAGCCTGCGTTTCCCTGCGTCAGTTCACATACCTCTGGTCATACCCGGAGCCCTGACATTACACCAAGGCCAATCCTGACCAGAAGTGGCTGCACAGGGAAGCCATCTTGGCTTGTTGCTGGGAAGAATGGATTTTGATGAGGTTGTGTATTTGTCGCTGCTGGTTTTTGATGACAGAGAATATGCTTATCAGACTCTGAGGGAGTATACCTGGGATCAACTGCTAGAATGTATACGGATCGCTCATGTTCTAGTAGATCAGGGCACAGAGAGTTCTCTGAGGTGCAACCTTTGATTCAGGTTTGTGTAGAGTTGGCTTCATCTGGTACCCCTGAAAGCAGGAATGACTTTTTGCCACCATTTAGTGCAGACCAGGTAGAGTCCCTGGTATGGTTATTAGAGGATGATGTGGATTGCTTCTTGGAGCATTATGCTGCATGTTCACCACAGGTATTAAGGGACTGTATAAACGCAGTGCAGTCTTTGACCAGACAGGCTTTGTGTAAGCTCAGCTTTGTTCAACCCATACTGCAGACATGGTCAGACTTGTTGCACCCAGCCTCAGTCAGCTTGCAACGTCATTCCTCTGCTCAAGGCACTCTTCCTGCATCCCCGACAGCACCCCCAGTGACGGCCCAGTATACTCTGCTAACTACCACATACCAGTCCCCTGCTCCCACTCGCTGCACCTATCCTTTCTTTGGTCCTGTGGAGAGGTCCTCTGTGGCGGCTGCTCCCTCCTCTGTTCCATCTTCCAGCTCTTCTCTGTCCTCAGCTGCTCCATTCATTTGCAGACTTGCATTTACTTGCAGTGCTCCAGTAGTTAAAACCAGAAAAAGAAAAAATTCTTTCCAACCAGTACCATCCTGCCAGTATCCAAACCGGTGAGCCTGCCGTCTGAGAACCTGCCTTCCGTGGTTCAGCCTGGTGCCTCGGCACCCGCACTTCAGCCTGATGTCTCTACCCAGCCTGATGTCTGTACCCAGCCTGATGAACTGATCCAGCCTGATGATCCTATCACGCCTGATGACCCAGTGCCTGCTGTCATACCTGGTGACCTGATGCCCGCTGTCGAGCCAGACGATCCAATGCCTGATGACCCAGTGCCTGCTGTCATGCCTGGTGACCCGATGCCCGCTGTCGAGCCAGACGATCCGGTACCTGATGACCCGGTGCCTACTGTCATACCTGGTGACCCGATGCCCGCTGTCAAGCCAGACGATTCAATGCCTGATGACCCAGTGCCTGCTGTCATGCCTGGTGACCCGATGCCCGGTGCCCGCTGTCGAGCCAGACGATCCAATGCCTGATGACCCAGTGCCCGCTGTCATGCCTGGTGACCCGATGCCCGCTGTCGAGCCAGACGATCCAGTGCCAGATGACCCGGTGCCTGCTGTCGAGCCAGACGATCCGGTACCTGATGACCCGGTGCCCGCTGTCGTGCCAATTGACTCAGAGCCCACTGTCGTGCCTGGTGACTCGGTGCCCACTGCCTTGCCAGATGACGCGGTGCCCGCTGTCGAGCCAAATGACCTGATGCCTGGTGACCTGATGCCTGCTGTCGAGCCAGACGATCCAATGTCTGACCCAGTGCCCGCGGTCATGCCAGTTGACTCGGAACCCACTGTCGTGCCTGGTGACTCGGTGCCCACTGCCTTGCCAGATGACGCGGTGCCCACTGGCGAGCCAAATGACCTGATGCCTGGTGACCCGATGCCCGCTGTCGTGCCTGATGACCCTGTGCCCGCCGCTCCGCCTGGGGGCCCCTTGCCTGCCGCCCCCGCCTGGTGGCCCGGTGCCTGCTGCTCCGCCTGGTGATCCGGTGTCCAGCCCGATGTGCCTCTGCCCGGAGTCCAGCCCGATGTGCCTCTGCCCGGAGTCCAGCCCGATGTGCCTCTGCCCGGAGTCCAGCCCGATGTGCCTCTGCCCGGAGTCCAGCCCGATGTGCCTCTGCCCGGAGTCCAGCCCGATGTGCCTCTGCCCGGAGTCCAGCCCGATGTGCCTCTGCCCGGAGTCCAGCCCGATGTGCCGCTGCCCGGAGTCCAGCCCAATGTGCCAGTCTTTGATATCCCGCCAGTTACCAGACCCGGGCGGTGGAACATTTTGCCCAGCTAGGACTGTTTGGAGCGTCCTGAGGCCGATCCTTGAGGGGGGGGGTACTGTCAGGAATGGACTTGCCAGTAATGGTGGGACTCACCTGCCTTGTGGGCTGCAGTACCAGGACTGGCCAGCGGGTGCTCTCATCAATCAGAGACTCAACCCTGCAGTCAGCCAAACACCTGAAGCTGATTACAGAGGTGTATTTAAGGGATGGCCAGACCTGCAGTCTGGGCCTTGGTGTGTGTTTTTTTTCTATGGGCCCCTGTATATTGTTACCTGCGTTCCTGTTCCTGTTCCTGCCTGACTGACTCGATGCCGACCCTGCCTGATCCTGACCTCTGCTGACTTCTCCTGTTTGATCCCTGGCTTGTGACCCCGACCATTCTCTGCCTGACCCCCTGTACCTACCTGCCCGTTAGTTGCTGTACCCGGCTCATGACCTGACTACTCTCTGCCTGCTCCTCCTGTTCCTACCTGCCCGATTGTTATTGACCCGGCCTGCCTGACTACGCTTGCATTGTATGTATTGTTATCTGTGGGTGGCTTGGTTTGGTTAGTTTGCACTTTGTTTATGTTTTAGTATTGCACTGCATTTTGTATTGTTAGTATTAATAAATTATATTGTTTATAACATATCTGAAGCCTGCTGTGAGGGATCTCCACGATCCCCGCCGCGATGGTCCCGGCGCAGGCGCAGTAGAAGCCGCTGGGCACCAATGGCAGCGCAGGGCACGATATTTAAACGGCCCTGAGCTGTCATTCGGTGCCTTCTGGTCTTATCCTTATCCTGTATCCTGTATCCTGAACCTGTTTCTAAGTAAGTTGCTGACCCAGATTGTACCTGACCACTGCTGTATTCTCCTGCCCAGACCCTTGCTTTGCCTGACCTCTCTCTTGAATGCCCCCTATTGGATCTGACCTGCTGTTGCTGACCTGGCGTGTGACCCGACTATTCTCTGCCCGCTGCCTTGTACCGTACCGTCCTCCCCGTTACCGACCCGGCTTGCCTGACTCTGCACTTGCTCAGCCATCCATCCATCCATCCCTCTCAACGGGGTCTCCAGACCTCCTCATATCAGGCTCTCTCCCGTGGGAGCCCCTGGCGAACACCCCTACCACTGACGGGTATCCTCAGTAGGCACGACCTGGTTGCGGGGTACTCCAAGTCCATCCCCACCTTCAGGGGCCCTGGTGAACAAGTACTCTGGGACTTAGACTCCATGCGCTGGGGACGCCTGATTAGTGGAGTGCTAGTGGTGTCGCCGGGCGGTCCCTTACAGTACCAGAAGGCCATGACTGAGCCTAGAGGAGGGCCCTCCCCGCTGGAAGAAATTTGCAGGCATCTATCTAACCTGACGCAGGCCGTAGCAGCCTTGCAGGATAAATGTATGCAGCTGGAGAACCGCTTCCAGACCTGCTCCATATCTGACCCAGCCCCACAGGCCCTGGTTTCTGCACCCCCGGCTGCTCTTGAGCCAGCGTCAGGGGCCTCCGCCCCGCTACCTATGGCGGAACCCCGAGTACCCTTACCGGAGCGTTTCCACGGGGACCGCACACGCTTCAGGTCATTCCGTGAATCCTGCCTCCTATTTTTTGAACTTCAACCCCATACCTTTTTGACTGAATCAGTGAAGGTGGGATTTATAATCTCACTGTTGCAGGGTGAACCCCAAGATTGGGCCCATCGGCTAAGGGGAAACAATGACCCACACCTAGGAACAGTCAAAGATTTCTTTGAAGCGATGGCCATCCTATATGATGACCCGCAGCTGGCAGCCTCTGCCGAAGCAATCTTATACACACTCCGACAGGGTCGTCGGGCGGCAGAGGAATACGCCTCAGAATTTAGGCGTTGGATGGGGGACACTCGCTGGAACGAGTTTGCCTTGCTGCACCAGTTCCGCATGGGGCTATCAGAACCCCTAAAGGATGAGCTGACCCGGGTAGAGGTTCCCGAGTCATTAGAGGATCTAATTGCCCTGACGATAAAAATTGACCGACGACTGCGGGAACGCAGGTTTGAGAGGTCCGGCCAGGGTCGTGGAAACAACTGGGGTCCATTCCTAGGCCCCAGCCAACCACCCAGACCAAGTATCCAGAATCCACTTCCAGGAGATGTTCCAGAACCCATGCAACTAGGCCTGGCTCGGCCCAAATTATCGCCAGAAGAACACCAGCGGAGACGCTCTCAGAACCTCTGCCTCTACTGTGGGGAAGCCGGTCATATGGTACGATCCTGCCCTCAGAAAATGAGTAAGTGTACCTCTTTTTCTTCTTTGTCTATTGGCAATGTCAGTCCTTCCCAATACTTAGTTGTGCCCCTCTCCTTTCAGCTTCCAGAAAGGACCGTGGAAGTGACAGCCATAATTGATTCGGGGGCATGCAGTTGTTTCCTGGATTTAGACTTTGCTCGCCAGCAGAAAATTCCCCTCCAACCCAAAAAGAGGGGTTTTAACATAATTTTGGCTCCCAGATAAAATCAGGAGTGGTTAATCAGGAAACTCCCCCCATTGCCACTACCATTGCCAACCAACACCGGTAATTTCTCCGCCTGGATGCCATTGCGTCACCTCTTTTCCCAGTCATTTTGGGGCTCCCTTGGTTATGGGCCCATAACCCCCAAATTGACTGGGAAACCGGGTCAATCTTGTTCCCTTCCCCATACTGTCAGGAACACTGTCGCACTTCAGGCCCGGCAGGCCCCCAGGTCCTCCTATGCTCCGAGGGGGACTCTGATCTGAAACAGGTTATTCCCGCAGCATATCATGAATTCCTGGACGTGTTCAGTAAACGGCGAGCAGATACCCTGCCCCCCCACCGCCCTTATGACTGTCCCATCGACCTGTTACCCGGCTCTGAGATTCCTTTTGGGCGAATTTTTCCCCTATCTGAACTTGAATTGGGGGCCCTGAAGGAATATATAGAGGACAGTCTCCAGAAGGGGTTCATCCGTCCCTTCACTTCACCAGCAGGGGCGGGGATCTTCTTCGTGGAAAAAAAAGACAAGTCTCTGAGACCATGTATTGACTACCGGGAGCTGAACAGGGTCACGATTAAAAATCGTTACCCATTACCGTTGGTGCCAGAGTTATTTCAGAGCCTGAAGGCTGCGGTCATTTTTACTAAACTTGATCTAAGGGGGGCGTACAACCTAGTTCGCAAAAGGGAGGGGAACGAGTGGAAAACGGCGTTCCGTACCCGTTTGGGCACTTTGAATACCTGGTCATGCCATTCGGGCTGTGCAATGCACCAGCCACATTTCAACATTTTGTAAATGATATTTTCAGGGATTACCTGGAAATTTTTGTTATCGTTTACCTGGACGATATACTGATTTTCTCATCCTCCCTGAAGGATCACAGGATACATGTGGCAAGGGTGTTGGGGCGGTTGCGTCAGCATGGGTTATACGCCAAGGCAGATAAGTGTTGCTTTGAGCAACCTAGCATTACATTCCTGGGGTTGATTATCTCCACCGCGGGGGTCGCAATGGACCCTCAGAAAGTCTCTGCGATTTTGGAGTGGCCGGTACCCGCGGACAAAAAAGGCGTCCAGCAGTTTATCGGGTTTGCAAATTTTTACCGGAAGTTCATTAAGAACTTCTCGGTCTCTGGTCTCCCCCATAACTCAGTTAACCAAGCTTGGAACCTGGTTCAGATGGACGCCGGAGGTTCAGGAAGCCTTTGAGGCCTTGAAGAAACTCTTTACCTCGGCACCCATTCTGGGCCACCCGGACGCTGCCCTGCCATGCATCTTGGAAGTAGACGCATCGGAGAATGCGGTGGGGTCCATCCTGTCCCAGCGAAAGGGCACCAAAGAATTACTCCATCCCGTAGCGTTCTTCTGGAGGAAACTTACCCCAGCCGAGAAGAATTACGATATCGGGAGTTGTTGGCCATCAAAACAGCACTCAAAGAATGGAGGTACCTGCTAGAAGGTGCCTCGCACCCCATCTTGATCTTCACAGATCACAAAAATCTCGAGTACCTGAGGACCGCCAAACGTTTACGCCCACGGCAGGCGAGATGGGCACTGTTTTTCTCCAGGTTCACTTTTCACATCACGTATAGGCCCGGATCTAAAAATACGAAACCCGATGCACTATCTCGCATGTTT